TTTATTTTAGCTGGAATTAATTTTCGCTGAAAAGGCGTTTTTGTATGAAATTTATTTTCACTGTTGAATGTAAAATATAGGAAAAAAGGTATATTTGCTGGATTTTATTTTCACTGAATCGTACCTTCAGTGAAAATTAATTCCAAGTGAAAATAGAGTATTCTACAGTATGTTGCATGGGACCCATATTGAACATTACACATTGTGATGACCATCTTCATTTCCAATCAGTTAGTTAGTCATGTAGTCTCAAACATAGAATATGGCATAAAAAGCCTTTTATGAACTCACCCTGTCTCTAGTTGCTCTGTGATTAAGTCTCTCCTCTTCCAAGAATAAACTAAGATCTGCTATTTGCTGCTGTAGATGTGCAATAAGTGCATCCCTATCAATAGATACATAAAGTTTGTATGTAATATTTACAGAATTTAAGTAGTGCTGACATTTTTTTTGTTAATCCTAATTTTGGCGACTTCTTATGAAATTAACACTCAGAAAATCAGTGTTTCTAAATGCTTTGCATTTGCATTCCATGACATTTACGTTCCAGCCATATTGGAATGATTGAGTCATCATTGCAATTAGAAAAAAAAATTCTTTTTGTTTGAGGTACAAAATTGGAAATCTTAGAATAACTATGCACATCATTTGTTTTCCCTTTCCTTAGTTTCTAATGGTCAGTCGTTTTTTTATTGGCACATTTGTAGAATTTACTGTTTACACAATGATGGGACCGGTTACCTAGCAACAGCATACTGACACAAACATTACAGCAATAAGATTACATGATCTCTAAACACAGACACAGTTAGAATTATAAATACGCATATACAGTCTAGAATTTGAAGGAGAGCGATAAGATACCGTAACCCTGACAATGCGACAATGATCAAACATTTGGCGACTAACATACTAGCACAGTGACATACATATTAGTTGGTTAAAGTGCAAAATGTAAAAAGTCTACTCATAAATAAAAATAACCAGAATTTATTCACTTACAATAAATTCCAGAGGACAGTATATATAACAATAATGTTTTTAAAAAACGTCAAATTTTTGAGAAAAAGATGGTTGTATTTTTGTGAATGGTGACAATTTTGTCAACATTATAACGCTTTTATGAGAAAAAAGTGCACAAAAATGTGGGTGTGAAAGGGTTTATTTCCAGAAATATTAAAAAATATAAGAAAAACGTGCAGCAAAAATTTGGGTGAGAAAGTCTTGTGGTGAAAAAGATTAAGGAGACATGATATCTTTGTATATTATTGTGTACACATATCAATTTATATAATCCAATTTAATCCATATAATCCAATTTAATATATATAATCCAATTTAATATATATAATCCAATTTAATCCATATAATCCAATTTAATATATATAATCCAATTTAATATATATAATCCAATTTAATATATATAATCCAATTTAATAGATATAATCCAATTTAATATATATAATCCAATTTAGGTACAACAGTTTGTTTGCTTTTTCTGTTTATTTGTAACTTGGGCAGCTTTTGGTATGATGCATCTTGAATAAACAATGTATGATGAATTTTATACACAAATCAGAGAACACCTTACTTAAAAAATAAGATTATTCTATGAATGTAGTTTGTAACACTGTTTCTTATTGGTTGATTACCTGAAAATACTAATACGTCAGAGACATAAAAGAATTCAAGCAACACAATTAACGTACAGAGAAAAGGCAAACAGAGCTATAACTAGTTTAACTGAACAGAAATAAATCAGACTGTACATAGCACATATGCATGACGATAAAAATGTACCAAACTTACTGTAACATGTAGTATAGACTTATAGAAATTGCACATACCACCAACTTGTACCATCACTTATTCCACGAACACATTTGTACAGACAGAGCATTATTCAGTGAATTATTTCCAGTTATTATTAAAATTGTTCATGGTGAGCATGTGCACATTGGTTTCATAGAAGACAAAACATAACAAAACAGTGTTCACTTGTCACATTTAGCCAGGACTTCTTTTTGTTATACTGAAATGCTTGCACTGAAATGTTTGTACTGAATTGTTTCTACTGGAATGCTTGTGCTGGAATGCTTGTGTGACTGTGAAAGAAATCATGATTGAAATCACTCAGCAACATTCAGAATACCAAAGACAATTTACCTCCACTGAATATTCCTTCAAGTGTATTCAGTTAAGATTTGTTTCACAATCACACTAGAACAACACAGAATGGTAGCAAAACAAGCATTTTGACAAGTAAAAAAGAAGTCTTGACATTACCAGTCTAGCTAATATGTAGCACTATTTCACACACTTTAATCAATTACAAAATCTACCTATACAACAATACTATTTGTACAATACACTATCACGTACATTCACTACACAATCATTGTACACAGCTCAATGGAAAACTAAAATATGCATATGACAATTCAATTTTTTTTATTCATGGAACGGACATGGTTATGGGCTTCAGTGGCTAAAGATTACAAGGTTGTTAACATATTTCACAATTTAACTGAATTGTTATAGCGTACATTTTTGCTGATGTTGTTTTTGATTGGGCAAACATATTTGGCAGTTCTAAGCACTGTGAGATTGTAGTGAATGAAATTTCTGATGTCATTAAGTTTAAATTTAAGGAAAAACACATTATGTTCCTTTCTTATATCATTGAATTCAGCCCTGCACCCTGACCCATCCCCGGCGTACAATAACTTACTGTAGGTCAGTTATATCAGACATAGTAGAAATCTTGGTACTTGTACGTTTAGTAGATTTAGACGTTCTTGTCATAAAATTTGATTTATTTGAACGTTCAATGGAACTCGGAAGCACATTGTGTTTGGAGGCAAATCGGACATTATTCTGTTTCAATGGTCTATGTGAGACTGAATGAGGCGCGAGTATTGGGTGTAATAACATACTATAAAACATGCCCATATATATATATATATAGAACAATTAAATATGAACGAAATCAAACCATTCATTCATTCATCGGAGAAGGCACAAAGATAAGAAAAAAAGTGAACAATAAAAAAAATATAAATCCTTTAAACTTGGAAAGGAAAAATTAAACCATGTTAGTATGGGAACTATCGCACACACGACAAACATCATCATTGGTTTATTTTGCACTAAACAGAAAAGTTATGTTAATTCCAATGAAATGAATATTGTCGCTTTCACCTCAACCATATGATTTGAAGTTGACAACAGTAACCATGACAACCATAATTTTTTGTTTTGTTTTTTTACAAATTGTTTACTCATTCTTAACACAAGTTTTATTCAAATAGATAGCAATTAGAAATAATTAAGGGAACTTCCACCCTTCAAACTTCGAACCTAATTTTTCATACCAAAATTTTGGTGCATGCTTACACATTTTTCAACAATTTCTAAATTTGTTTTGAAGGTTTTTATCAAAATATTTTTTTTTAAATGTGTAAGTTTATTTTGTGAAAGGTGACTTTCAAATTAGAGTTAAAGGTTAATATATGCAATCTAGTGTAACATTACATCATGACAGAAAGTGTCCTTTGATCGTATCCTTGCATGAAACTCTGACAATCGGCTAATAAAAATTTAAAAAAAATGAAAACAATGCTCTATTTCGATAAATGAAAATTGAAAACAGAAGATGTGTGCAAATGAGAAAAACAACAGATTGCAAAAATGGAATGTAATCACCCCTAAAGATAATAGAACGATCCATAGAACAATGAGAGCAGATAATTCCATTCTACTGAAAGAGGGAAGAAAGTTGAGTAAGAGGGGCATGTGTAAAAGATTAAATAGTAACTCTGCCATTAAAAGTAAGAATTTGATTAAAAGCTAAAATGATCTAAAGAATTTATGCAAAAAAAACATAATAATCTCAATAAAATTCTCTTTTTCTTTAAACTACATACCCTGAGAGATTGTCTATAGCAATCCTTTTATATAGAGACCTGTAGATTGCAGAGCTTGGTAGAGCAGAGGGCCGGCTTGGTGGTCAAGAAGTGAAAGGAAATTGGGCCGTTGATCTGATTGAAATGAAAAAAGGTGACATCGGGGATGGTTTCCATGACAATTGTCAAGCACATGCAAGAACCAATCAAATTCATGCTGCTGTCATGCTCATTAGCATATGTTTGTTGATTGGTTACAAGTGTCAATTTCAGTTCTATGTTAATATTAGTGGTGTTAGTTTCACTCAGTTTCCATGGTAACTTACTCTATTTTCATTTCACTAAAATTGAGATGCAATGATGAACATTTAGAAAAAATAACGATTAACGATGAGTACAGAGATCGATTACATGATTAGCATGCATGGGAAAAAAAACAATGGACCAAAAAAAAAAAAACAAACTGTTTCTCACTTCTCACTTCAAAATTATTTATTTATAAATGATGAAATATCACATTTGTGAACAACTCCCTGAATGCTTGACATGATTATCACTGATAGTCAATAATAAACTGAATGAGGGAATCTAATCAATGCAGTAAGTGATGGAGAAGCAGGGAAACTGCTTTCTCAATGTATTTCACTTGAAAGAACAGAACAGGGAATATAATACAGAGACAAAACTCATTATCTTTACCAAGAACTTGATTCAATTGGAATCCAAAGTATGAAAAAAGTCAAAAGATGTATTAAAAGAGCAACAATTTTCTGATGAGAAAAACAAACATCAAAGGCAGAGGTAAAATCAGCTTCTGATATTTTTTAATAAACAATAGCCTTGGTGCAACTTTTTTTGTATTATTAGTTTTCATAAGTCTGCGAACTGTTTTAGACTTGATGAAGAGTTTGAAATATTAAAATGAGAAACAGACATTCTTAACAATATATCGGGGTATCACACATGGTTTGATGACTGCAGGGATCAAAACCAAATCATGCAGTATGGATATATAAATTACATAAGAGTGGCACAAACAGGCATGGTTTGGATGGTTAACATATTAATTTGTATATCTACTCCATATATACTGTATTCTCTCTATTAGCAGTGCACATGCTTACACATACATGTAGATACCGGTATATTAAGGAAAGAGTAGGCATGCCAAATTGCTGACTATCAAATGTGATGAGGACAAATACTGAGATGTTTTGATTTGGGGAGGAGAGATATTTTTGATAGAGATAATACAATATATTTTGGTAGTGTGGCTTTTTTGATTGAGTATAACCAATTACATTGAGCTTTGCTCACACAATTTGTACCACTATCACATGATAAGATTATAAATTGTAAGGCATTGATTTCACTATCAGTTAGAAAACATTCAGACTTCTATATAAACATCTCTAAAGATCATACACACGACACAGGGGAGCATGCACCACACAAACAAACAAACACATGAAAATAATGGGAATGAACTTGCATGCTTTATATACAGGGACACAGGTACATGCACAAGGGGTCATGCACATATAAAACATTTAAATAATTATATATGTTAATTTATAAAACATGTGCTGTAATAAATTGAAACCATACCTTTCTGGATCAGCAGTTGACCTGCAAAATAAAAAATAAATTGGTTACTGTAAAATACTTTATTTTTGCTGATATGCTGATTCAATGGAAATAAAATCCAGTGAATATACTTTTTTTCCCTGATATTTTACATAACTCGTCAAAATATTTGATGGCATTCAATAAGTCAATCACAGAGTGACACCCAGGATTAAAAATCCAACATGAACGTACATTTCGTAGGCATCCGATGAGATTCATTATTATTCTCTTATACAACAAAGACAAGATAAACTGTTTCATCGCTTCATTGGATTAGAAATAATTGCACTAGTTTGATATTTAAATGTGTAGTCAAGTCTATTGTCCAGGCATGATGTCTTGCAGCAACACAGACAATGTGTCTATTTTAACAATAGAACTTTATTTGTCAATTTCATTACCTCAAACAACTAACAATATATAGATTCATCAGCTTTATAAAGTTAAACATCTACTTTGTAACCACAACTACCAATACGTATATTATACACTGTATAGTCACAGATAATTCATTCGAATATTTCATCTTTCATACTCTTTACACAATAGAAATGTTATTATATGATTCATACACAATATATTTTCAGGAAACGCCGCATTGAACCTTTGAACTGATTTTTTCTGCAAAAATTTTGGTGCATTTTGCGCATTTTAAAGTGTTTTTCTACAATATTTTTAACCAAACGAGAATAATCTTACATTAGCTACAATTAGGTCAATTTGTTTTGGAGAAATGGGTTGTGGGTTTATTTTGAGAAAGGTGAGAATGGTGACAAAAGTAAGTGACTGCAATTTCTATATGAAAGCTTGATTATGTATTAGACAAAACAAAACTTACTTGGCGCTCAGTGATCGCCTTGATGGAGAGTCAACGAACCCAGTATTGATTGTCACGGCAACACGACTTTTACTTTTCGACATTGTCATACCAGGTGCTAGTTCGTAGTCTCGTACACTCAGTTCCTGGTAAGAAGAAACAACGATAAATTAATGAAATAATCACCAATAAGTTTTTAAATGCCGACCCTGAAGAAAGGAACAATAAACAAACATAGGTGTTATGTCATGGAATTGCTTGTCAACATACCAGCCAATCAGAAGTAGTGAACCATATCTTGGAAGATTCTATTTGACAAGAGGTAGCATTAGCTTGAAAATGAGGGAAACTCAGAATTTTGAAGAAAGTTGTAGATGTATTAATAATACTGCTGTATTGATATGCAAGACAATTCAACAACAGATTCACAGAAAGAAAAAAACAAGAGATCCCAATAAAAAAAAATTCAAAATTATTTACACTATAAGGAATTGAATGATAATACCCACATTTTTTTGCATTTTTTAATATATTCTTATAATATGGAAACGAAACCTAAGTTTCTACTAAAAAATTTGTTTATTTTTGTTTCAATCTTTCGAAGGAAAGTGCAGACTATAAACAGAATTTGTGATGAAATGAGAGAACTGGTGATGATAAGGTTAATAAATTATCTCACATTTAAATGTTGCAAACAAACAAAACATATTTTACATGTGACATATTAGGGAAAATGTGGGTTTCCACTGACCCTTCACCAATTGGAAAAGTACTTTGTATTTAAGTACAACAAATTATGTCACTTTTTCATGGCTAGGGTACGACAATTTATCAATTCGATATTAAAAACAATATAGTTAGCTTCTGTGGATTCAAATAGATTACCCAAATGGCCCATATCAAACATGGCGCAGCTTGATGATTGAAATGTTTTTGTGAAAACACTGAACATTGAATGAATATCATAGAGCATTGTCTGAAAAGAAACTGTACTTGTGAGAACAGAGACTGGTTGAAGTAGACAAGTATTTTCAGAGTTACAATAGTCTTTCATATTGCACCTATATGTCAATAAATTGCCAACAAGCGTACAATGTACAGGCAAAGCAAACAACTCTCTAATAAATGTTTTCAGCTTTACCGATAGATAGCAAGTAACCAGGTTACAAAACAGAACTTATGACCTTTGTATAATGAGTTGGGATGCCAAAAGTACAGAAGTGAGGTGCAATTTGGATTACAAACAAAATTACAAAATTAATACTAAATTCAATCAACCAACTCATTCCCATAGCGACAAGAAACTAATCTAGACTGTGATGAATTGTTATCTTGATAACATGGCAGTTCTTTGTAACCATGGAAACTAGATATAAACACTAGTCTGATGAAGTATTGGACCATGAAGAGATTAGACCTAAATTATCTGCCATGCTAAGAAAATTAAAATTAAAAACCACCCTCTAAATTTAAATATATTAAATACTAAAATTTAAGTTACTTGACTTTGGTGCTTTTCAAACATTAATAAATTTATGAATAATAATAATAACAAGTTAAAAATAAACATATTCAACCTTCTTTGTACTGTTTGTTGATGTTTATTGTAGTTAAGCCAAAGACATAACCAGTAGGTCTCAAGTGCTAAGGAATTTACCCATAACCTAGTTTGGGTGTGCCACGGGACATAATAAGTCTACCCAGATTCTGAGTGGGTATGCCACAGACTCAACCCAGATCCTGAGTGGGTATGCCACAGACACAACCCAGAACCTGGGTGGGTATGTCATAGACTCAACAGGTTAACCAAGAAGCTGGGTAGGTATGCCATAGACTCAACAGGTCAACCAAGAACCTGGGTGGGTATGCCATAGACTCAACAGGTCAACCCAGTCTGGGTGGGTATGCCTTAGACTCAACAGGTCAATCCAGTCTGGGCGGGTATGCCATAGACTCAACAGGTTAACCCAGAACCTGGGTGGGTATGCCATAGACTCAACTGGTTAACCCAGAAG